TAAAGACTAATGAAGTACGTAGGGGTTGTTTAAAATATTGATTTTTCTCAAAATGGCAGCTATTTTACGAAAAATGTATATTTTTTGCCAGTACAAGTCTTTCTTAAAATAACTGCCATTTTGAGAAAAATCAAAATATTTTGAAAAACACCTACGTACTTCATTAGTCTTTAATATGTAAATAATGAAAATTCTTTGTGTTTTGTTCAAGGTCAAACTGTGTACAATCTGGAATCCTGTACATCGATAGAAGAAAAGGGATTTTGCAAGTGTAAGCCAGTGCGCCGCCATAAATATAAGAAAAATAAAAAAATATTTTTTTAGTTTCTTATATATGTACAATAATGTTCTCTAAACAGATTTTAAATAAAGTTATCTATTTACCCACAAAAAAATCCCAAACTTTATGTATCGTTCTAAAACCTCAAAGATGGCGTAATTATCGTCTTAATAAGAATAAGTACGAATATTATGCCGCCTAAAACTGAGGATTGTCAAGTGAAATAAATCGACAAAGAGATATTACGAAATGATTCCAGAGACATGGAACTGATCTCGGACTCGCATTTCTACAACATCCCGGTGAACACAACTTATTCATCGGTTCATATACCGACCAACGTATATGATCTTGCGCCAGACGTATGTAAGGATATCGCGAGGACTGAATCGTTGGACGATATGTTTCGTCAAAATTACGAATCCGATCCGGCCTTGTCATGGCAGTACTTTGGTTCAGTCACTGGTATGCTCCGACAGTATCCTGCTATGCGATGGCAAACAAATCCCGATGACGATGATAACAAAGATGACATCGACGAAGATAATGAAGATGATATCAACAAAAATGATAGTAACAACAAAATTGATTGTGACGGTGATAATGATGATTCTTCTGCTGATTTGTACGACTGCAGGATACGTAGTTGGTTCATCGAGGCGGCCACTTGTAGCAAGGACATGGTAATTCTAATGGACGTCAGCGGCAGCATGGCCGGCATGGGAAAAACGATCGGTATGGGAGATTGGTTTTATTAAGGAAATAGAAAGTAGCGAAGTGTACAGCTAAAACTTTTACAATCAAACCGTGTTACAGAAAATTTTAGACCTTCAGATAAACAAGACGATGAGACAATAAAAAATATAGATTTTAGTTCGTTAAATTAATATTTGTTATTTTTTATTTGATTCATCGCGATTTTATTAATTTTATAATTAAAAAGTTGTGATATAAAACATTGTTTGAAGAGTGTTATTAATCGCTTTGTCTTCTAATCGAACGATGATATTATGGCAGCAAAGACAACGGTGAATTCAATTCTGGACACCTTGTCGAACAATGATTTCGTCACGCTGCTAAAATACACTAACGTGACGACCGAGTTGGTGCCGTGTTTTAAGGATATGCTGATTCAAGCCACTCCGGAGAATCTTGATACGTTTAAGAAATCCATGGGCAATATCGATATTAAGGAAGTCGCTAATCTCACGAAGGCTTTTACCAAGGCATTTAGTCTACTCAAAGTCTCCCGGGAGTTACGTGATTGCGACGCCGACTCGCCGTGTAATCAGCTCATAATGCTCATTACTGATGGTGTTCCTGGAGGACAACTGGGGAATGATTTGAAGAAGGTGATATTTGATTGAATAATATTTTATTGTTTTTTTTGCATATCGAAATTTTGCGTGACGATGAAACTGTTGGAGAGTCTGCTAAAGCATTGTGAATAAATGTGAAACTAATTTTGTCCCCCTTCACTTCTTTATGCTTTAAAAAATTTTCTGTACAAGCATATAGAAAGTGATGAAAACAATAGTTGAAAATAATTTGCAGAAATAAAGATAAATTAGTTTTAAAAATAAATGACCGAAAAAATTTTTTAAAATAAACATTACTAATTATTATTGTTCTCTTTCATTCATTTTAGGTATTCAAAAAATGGAATTGGAAAGAAAATGGTACTCATATACCAAGTGTGCGAGTGTTTACGTATCTTATAGGCAAGGAAGCGACTAAGGTAGATGAAGTCCAGTGGATGGAGAGTTCGTGT